TTACAACCATTAACTACTAGCCCCCCTCCCTAGTCACAATTGGCAGAAGCAAATCAATCAAGCTCCCATTGACTGCTATGCTTTGTAAATTAACAATTGTTGATTGATGCAGGTTCTGACAGGTGTATTTTGAGTTTTGAAATTAACGTGGGTCATTTTTCCTAGTTACCAGATCAGTGGGAAAAAGCTAGCATCAGTGTATTTCGCCCAGGCAAAATTCCTGCTAGTAGTAGATGTGGCAATACTGTTCCTGATGATGACAATCAAGAGGTATCGTTATCTCCGGGTTCCAGGTGAGTCTCAAAATGGAAGTATAAAACAAAGGAACAATAAAGAGAAAGGGGTCAGTGTCATCTAACCAAAGGAACCAAAAACATCCGGTGCTTTTTTATATATGTCTTGGGATCTCCCACATTATTTTTCCTTCATGGATGTCCTATTACTAATGTAGGTATGCAGTCCTTCCACGCCCGGTATGCTTTGAAAAGGGTCTGAATTACACTGTTCGGTTGGAGCTACCGCAGTACTCCTTAAACTCAGAGGTGGAAAATCCATACACGCTCATTGATTCAGTAAGTGGATGCTAATACCAGCTCTTTGGTTGTAACATAGCCACCGAGGGATGAACTGCTGAAAGTGTTCCTATGAACATAGCTTTTAGCACAAATGGCTAGAGGGATTTTAAAGACCTGCAGACACAGTAGCACCATGAGATTTGAGGGACCTTAAGTAACAGCCCCACCTTCTGATTGCTTCTCTACAATCTAGAATTATTTGCTTTTTTTTTTTTTTAATGTGGAGGCCATGGCTTTCCCCACCATCATCTCAACCTTACCAGCTGATTCTAGAAGCTGGAGTCAAAGGGTTATTTAAAAACAGAAGCAGCATGTAGCTGAACCAAGGAGGAAACTGAAATGCAAGTGGGTGGTTCTATCATTAACTCCATTGCCTTCATTGACTTGGTGCCCAGAAGGCAACCCTTGATTGGTTTAGCTGCCTGCTTCTTTTCTTTAGAGGACTACTGTCTTTTTGGAAGGCCACTTTAGGACCATACTGTTTGGAAGCCACTCTGACTAAATTCTCTAGTGAAGTGACTCTAGATACCTCCTTATGATATACTGTATGGGAAAATTGTTCTTGATAATAGTTGATAATAGCCAAGGTTGCTCACCTGGGTGCCCCAAAGCAAGAGAGGAAAGAAAGAATGAGCTGTCTTACATCTTAATTACAAAGCTGTACATGGAACATGAGTTCTGCTTTTTATTTTTTCTGTGATTCTTGCTGAAATTTACAGAAGGGTGCAGATATCAAGGGGAACTTGGGAACTGCTTCTGCCACACGAGATGAGGTTGAGGAAACAGGCAAAGCCCTACCACATAGGGAGTGTTTCTTGTGGCACCTTTGAAGTGTGTCCTTGGAAGATACAACATTTGGATTGCACACCTTAAAATATAGTAATACGGCTTGGTTAAAATCATTTCACAGCTTGTTCTCATGCCATATTGCAAGTCACTGGACTTATTCACGGTTGGAGGCAGAGGTGATGATGTGACAACTAACAGTGCCTGGGAAACCTTTCAAAGATACCGCTGCCTGGAGAACAGCAGGAGCGTTGTTAAAACCCCCATGACTGATGTTTGCCGAAATATAATTTTTAGCATCTCAGCCCTGTTGCACGAAACAGCACTCGGTAAGTAGGTTTCACTGGTTTAGAACATGATTTCCCAAACTGGAAGAGAACGTGATTTGGAGAACGTTCAATAATCCCATAGACTGAATATTTGTATGGAGCACATAGAGAAAGGAATTAATGCTGCGTCCTGCTAAAACATGGGCACGTTTGCAGTAAAATCCAAATCATCAACTTGTTTCAACTATAATGTGGAAAATAACCAACATTATACATGCAGCCTTCCAATACATTGGGAGTTTTTCTCCCTCATCTTTCCCTTCTAATTTCTTATGTATTCCAAATCTACTCTGGAGTTACTCCAAACCTCTAGAGCAGATCTGAAAAATCTGTAGAAGGATAGATGAATCCAAACCATCCGAAGTATTCATTTGTCTGGCAAACAGACACAATTGGACAAAAGCACGTATTGCTGCTTCATCCAAAATTAGTTCTTAGTTCTCCTAAATCAGTGTTTCTCAACCTCAGCAACTTGAAGAAGTGTGGACTTAGCTCCCCCATACTGGCTGGAGGAATTCTGGGAGTTGAAGTCCACACATCTTAAAATTGCTAAAACTGCTCTAAATACAGGCAACATTTCTAATCATTAATATTTGTCTTAAAAAATGAAGACGGGGGCTAAAGTCACCTAATGAATCAGATTGCATCACTGATACTTACATATATCAATCCATTTGAGCAAGTTACTTGCCATTTCCTTGGCTGCTGTGTGTTCTAATGGTCGTATTTGTGGTGTAATCCTTTTATTTTTACTTGATATTGTTCGCTGCCAGAGTCACTTGTTGAGATGGGAGGCTATACAAACTGAATACATAAATAAAAAATAAATAAATTCCTCCAACTATCTATCTTTCCCTTTTTTTAGCTTGCCAGTGTGACCCACAAGGTTCATTGAGTTCCGTATGTGATCCCAGTGGAGGCCATTGTCAATGTCGGCCAAATGTCGTGGGAAGGAGATGCGACAAATGTGCCCCTGGCACTTTCGGATTTGGACCCACTGGATGCAAATGTACGTTCTTTCTTCATTTCAAAGGCCCTGTTACTACTCTGTAACGTTACTTAGTAAGAAATAAGAAAAAAAACTTTTGGTTTCTCTCTTCTAGCACATCTGTACAGATCCTCATGAACTAAGATAACTAAGATGAAAAAAACTAATATTTCTAATGCTGGTAATTAACTAGCTGGAGATTTTAAAATCCACAACTACATGATTATGGGTGGTGTTGACTTCCCATTTCATCCAGATGTTGTGTTTTTTTCAGCCTGTGAGTGTCATGTCCAAGCTTCCGTTAATGCCTTCTGCCATCCGGAGACCGGGCAGTGCCATTGTTTCCACGGAATATATGGTCGCCAGTGTGACAGATGCTTGCCTGGATATTGGGGATTTCCAAGCTGCCAACCCTGCCAGTGCAATGGTCATGCGGATGAATGTGACCCGTACAGTGGACAGTGCTTGAATTGCCGTGATCACACCTCAGGCGCCAATTGTGAAAGGTATTGCTTCTGTTTGGCATAAGGAGAACTTGGTTTCAAAAAGTGGTGTGTGAGCAAGTGTTTAGATTAAATGCATCGCCTCTACAACGTATCATTTTAGCAAGAGTGATGGCCCTGAATTCTGAAAGCTTAGTCTCAAAACTCTTCCTTGCAGTTTCCAAGATCCTTAGAAATGTAGAAGCACAGTTTCACAAAGTATACCAAACCAGAGTTTACAAAGTATACCAAACATGGGTTATGTTGTATTTTAATTGGGTTTCACAAATATGCAACTTTCTAGAGCAGTGTTCCTCAACCTTACCAACCTTAAGATGTGTGGACTTCACCAATTCTGGGAGTTGAAGTCCATGCATCTTAAAGTTGCTCAGGTTGGAAAACGCTGTTCTAGAGATACACATTGGCCTGTGAATTGAAGCAGATCCATATGACACGTGAAATGTCAGATGTGAAATGTCATTTGGTATGGAAATCTGTCTGCTGACATTAAAAAGAAAAAAAATCCTTGACCTAGGAGGTCCTTCATGGCTTGGCGCCTGGTTATCTATGGGGCTGCCTCCTTCAACTGGATTTAGGTCATGCAGGGAGGGGCTCCTTGTTGCCCCACATGTCTGGGATGTCAGAGGAGTCCAAGATAGAAAGTGCTGCTTCTCTGAAGCAGCCCCAACACTGTGGAATTGGCTCCCTACTGAGATCAGACTGGCTTCCCCTGGTAGCTTTTAGGAAGTTATTAAAAAGAGAGCTTTTTCAAAGCATCTTTCAGGAACATCACTAGTACCTCTTTTTATTGTGACACCAAGAGTTGTAAGATTGCAATGGGATAAAAATCAAATAAACAAATAAACAGCATTTTTTTTTAAGGCCTAGCAAAAACAGCTTTAGGCTGTGGTCTTCACACTGTACTTAGAGAAAAACGTTAAGTTCTTAACAAGCCTAGTTTCAGTGGGTCAGTATGTATAATATGCTTTGGCTATTTATGATAAACCTTGTCCTATAAAATTAGGTGCCTTGCTGGTTATTATGGAGATCCAATCCTGGGATCAGGAGATCACTGTCGTCCTTGCCCTTGCCCTGATGGACCAGAAAGTGGGCGCCAGTTTGCCAGTGGCTGTTATCAAGACCGGACTACGTTGCAAGTGGTGTGTCTTTGTGAGAATGGATATAAAGGTAAACTGGGTTGTGAAATTTAACTAATGTCCTGAAATAGCATTGGTTGTCTGCAACTGTTTGGATGTTGCTTCCAGACATCACTGGTGTCCTTCTGAACCTGGTGCAGCTTTTTCAGAGTTATGGCCCCACCTGAATAAACCTCACATCTGGCAGGATCATTGCGTTTTATGAGATTTTCATGATCTCCTTTGCAATGTCATGCAATATCGGCCAAATCTCCTAGAATATATTTGGGCCATTGGAAAAAAAAATAAGAAAACCTACTAATATTTAAGTTCAGTTTGTTTGTCTGCAGGTGCAGCCTCACCAGCCTTCAGCGTATAACATTTATTTATTTTTTGTACAGCTGCTCCTTAATGATCCATTCATGTTAATAATTATTTGAATTCAGTGCCGCTATATGAACGCTGATGCTTTGCAAAGAGTTAAAGATGGGTCCTGTTTCTTAACGCACCCAGAGGACTTTTTCTCCCATACTTTGGTTTGTGGCATGATTTCCTGAAGATTTTTCTTTCTTTGATTGCTGGCTGAACAGGAAGCAGATGTGATGAATGTGCTTCTGGCTTCTTTGGAAACCCTGAAGAGGTCGCTGGGACTTGTCAGCCCTGCCAGTGTAACAACAACATTGATTCCTCTGACCCGGAGGCTTGTGACAGAAAGACAGGATTGTGCCTCAGGTGTTTGTATCACACACAAGGTGAACACTGCCAAGAGTGTAAACCTGGCTACTATGGATGGGCTCTTCAGCAGGATTGCAGAAGTAAGTGGACAGGGATCTCTGCTTTTGACTGTTCAGATGTCATTTGGCACTTGGGTATCTGCAAAGATACAGGCTTCTGGCTTGCAAGTCCTATTCATTGTTTTCTACAATCACCACACCCCCAGTTGGAGTTTTTTGCACAAAGGCATACCTTACAAATTAAGGAATTCTGAGTTAAAAAGTTTCTTTTCTTTATTCCCTTCAAGAATCCAAATTACATCCATTTCACTAATGTGATTTGGGAAGGATGAGGGAACAAAGTAATTTCCCCAGCGCTGTGGTGAACTGGAAGTCAGAAATCCTTTTTAATCTTCTGGGAATCTACCCATAGGTTGCCCTCTATCTCCTCTCCCATTCTAGGGTGTTTATTTAGTGGAGCAAATACTGGAAATTCTTACGTCGGAAAGATAAGACTCTTAAAAGGTCAAGAGATGACTCTACTGTAGCATGAATAGGCTTTTGTGGATAACAAGGCTCTCCGTTTTAACCCCAACATCTAATTATGCAGGGGTTATCTTGAAAATGCAGAAGCCATATGTTTTGAAATGGGTTTGCTTAATTCGGTAACTTTTGCATACCCTGAAAAGAAGCTTTGAAGAGTGGGAAGTCTTTCTTATTAACATTCATTGTTTCCCTTTATGAATGAAAGACATCCAACCTGATGTGTATAGGAACAATGGATTTCTTTAAAAATTCAGTGGGAAGGGGGTGTGAGAACAGGAAAAACATCAATACCTTTAACGTGGCATAAGTTTTCATGCTTATTATAGAGAGATAACTTATCCAAACTTATATATACCAATCATACATTAATAGACTGTAGTCCATTAAGGAATGGACATTTAAAAAGCATGTATGGGTATTGAAATCAGTCTTTTATAGCTTCGTTTCCCCTGTTCTTTTGAACTATAAATCTCATTATCTCTGCTCAGAATGACTGATAGGATTGCCTTATCGTGTCAATAATTTCAAAACAGCCCACTTGAATAGATGAAAAGAAATCATATTTAAATAATACTTGCTCGGATCTCATTAATCCACTTAATGCAAGTGTCAGAGTGTCCAACTGCTGGCAGGGAAACGGTGCTGCCTTCAGGAAGGTTGCTCTAATACCTTCTCTTTTTTCTTGATATAACTCCTCCTCCCCACGAGCATTGCTTTTGCGACTCTTCCATTCCAGAGTGCGTCTGCAATTACCTGGGAACCGTTCATCAGCGTTGCAACAGCTCTGAAGACTGTGAGTGTGAGAAAGAAACGGGTCAGTGCCAGTGTCTTCCTAATGTGGTTGGACAGAATTGTGACCACTGTGCCCCAAACACGTGGCAACTGAGCAGTGGGACCGGATGTGAACCATGTGCCTGTGATCCTGAGCATTCCTTTGGCACATCTTGCAATGAGGTGAGAAGGCTTTATCAGAGCTAGAGATGGCGGATTGAGACTAGCTTCCCTCCAGAAGAGAGCCAGTTTGGTGTAGTGGTTAAGGCACCGGGCTAGAAGCCAGGAGACACTGAGTTCTAATCCTGCCTTAGGCACAGAGCCAGCTAGGTAACCTTGAGCCAGTCCTTCTCTCTCAGCCCTAGGAAGGAGGCAATGGCAACCCACTTCTGAAAAACCTTGCCAAGAAAACTGCAGGGACTAGTCCAGACAATTGCCAGGAGTCAAGACTGACTTGAAGACACACACATGTTCCCTCCAGAAGTGTCTGTAGAGGACGTTTTGGGGGACAAATGACAAAAGGGTCGTTCCGCTATTGTGTGCGTTCCTCTTTTATGTGTGTCATGATGTCACACGTGTATTTGAAAGGGACGGGGTTTGCATTGCATTGGGGCAACACAGCCTTTGTTATTTTGACAAAAGTCTCCAATCTGGTGGATACTCTTGCTTTAGTTTATCTTCTGTGGGGTTGCTTGATAAGCTACCTGTTTTATACTCGGCAACCCATGTTTATATTAGTTTACATGGGACAATCTGATTGATTGATTGATTGATTGTGTTAGCTGGATTAACATCTCACCTTTATCTCTAAGGAGCTTAATGTGGGGTACGTGGCATTCCCTCCCTCAATTCCCCCAACCACCACTCTGTAAGGGAGGTTAGGCTGCAAGAGAGGGACTGGCCCAAAGAAAGTAATTTGAACCTGGCCTTAATCTAAGACCTTGAATTCAATAACACCCAATTGTTTTATCCATCTCTGCATCATACTGTAATAAAGGAGTAAATACTTTTTCTGAAGATTTGTGTAAAGACAAAAGCGATACAAAGGAATTGGGAGGCTCATTGTGACAATTCATGGCGTGTGCCACCAAAACGTTAAAATAAGCTATAGTTTGAAAAATCTTTAGGTACTAAATTGAATGAGATTTCTGTGCATAGAAGGTTTGTTTTAATAAGGAGACAGCATTCAGTCACAAGCTTTTTGCAAAAAAAATGGCAGGGGTCTGCAGGGTGTGGTCATGAATGTCAATATGGTGGCCACAATCATGTGATCTAAGCTCTGCCTGTTTTTTACGTGGCTGCACTATTATGGCTGCCATCTTGGCTTTTTTTAATCCATGCCTTGCAGACACCCTGAGTAAGTGACAACAAGCATTTGGCGAATAGGTATATATTGGTATTGCAGAAGGATAGTTTAGCCGGTGACTTTGGTGGTGCCATTTAAGCTTGCTTGCATAAGTAATAGTTCTTGCATAATATCTGCCATGATTTAGAAGGAATGCAGTTAACAGAAGAAGACGGGGTGGGTGAATTGCCCATATTAAAATGAGAGTTCCTAATTATGGATCCTTATTATGTCTGGCATTAGTACTGATCAATCAGTGGGTTAAAGTTGTGTGGTGGAATGCATCTACGAGGAGGAGAGTGATGGGGGAGATCAAGGCTATCAGGGGGAGGGGGTGCATCCCAGGAGGGGAACAAGAGACAACACAGTCCACAGGGGGAGCATGAGAAGAGTAAGAGATTCGGGATAGCCACTCCCTAGAATCTCCCAGGGTAGATCCACTAGTTGCTGTAGTATAGATTTAGTTGGGCAAGATTCTGTCTATATGGCGTAAGCAAATAGAGGAACTTTACTCAACTGGACTGTTTCACTGTTGTTCCTGGGCTAGGTCTAATAAGTTGTTTCCCCCCCCCCCTTTAAATTAATAGTTCACTGGGCAATGCCAGTGCATGCCAGGATTTGGAGGACGCATGTGTACTGAATGTCAGGAGCTTTTCTGGGGTGATCCTAGTGTGGGCTGTCAAGGTGAGTATATTATTCAGTGTTTACTCTTCCTGTTTTCAAGGAGTACATTCAAATATTCAAATAGCCAGCATCTGTATGGTTCTGACATAATGGGACAATCCAAGATAGCTGATGACGATTTGTATTGTGATGGTGCATGCGGAAAGAACAAAGCATCATTCATATTGGCTCCATTTTGCTTGGATGCAAGAAATTAGATCCAAGACAGAAAAAGATAAGAGCGCCTTCGTTAGTCTCTTAATGCTGCAATATTTGTTACTTACACAGGACTTGCTAACAAGGCTTAGTCTCTTAATGTTGCAATATATGTTACTGTAAAGGACTTGAAAGGATCTTGGCTGCCTTATCTGGTGTTCTGTTTTAGTGCAGCTAAATTTAACATAGCTGAATTTAAATATTAGTTTATTAATAACATACTTAAATAAAAAAATTAAAATAAGATTTTGCAGAGTTGTATGAAAGTGTAATCTTAATTTAGATACACATTTTTTCATTGTTTAATTAAAACTATAACAAATATGAACTCATGCAGAAGAAAAAGGAAACAGAACATGTTAAAAGCATAGAAATAATTGAAAACACCAAAAAGGTACAGACTGTAAATTCAGTTACATATAAAAAGTAAAAAAAAGAAGAAGCAAGAATCAGTGAAATCAGTTCATCAAATTATATGCAGCAGTTTTATTTGTTCCACTGAAGCAATTTGGCAAATGAATATGTTGCTTTCTTTCCATTGATCAGTTCTCAGTGGATCATACACATTTTAAATTATCAGTAACATGAATAATTGGAGATTTTTTTTGGTAAGTAGTTTTATCGTACTTAGTAAATAATGTTTTCATGACTTGCAGATCTAATCCAGTCAAATATTTTTGAAAAATTGTTATTGATCAAATACCGATTAGTACTTTCCAAATATTGTCCACACTTGGCCTTGTAAATTGTTGGCCTTGTGTATTATACAGCTTTTCCAGGCATCAGATAACATTGAAATGCTGTCTTTAAATGCACATCCCTGATACCAAAATGTACCATCACACTTTTACCACTTCTTAATGTTTTTCATGATAGGAGTATATTTTCTTTCTCAATTTGTTTTAAAAAGTATTGGCTATTTTCACACATGAAGTTAACGGGTTTAGACATACATGCCTCTGTGATGTTGGCTACTGAATTCTTCCCTGTCATCTGAGATCTTTCAGTTTTTTCTTTAAAAGCTATGATTTTTTAATTATATTTGAACTGGGGGATGGGGGTGGGAGGTAGAATCCTGATATAGTAGGTGGAGGGAATGGCCTTGAGGGACAGGAGGAAGAGCCACTACCAAGACAACAGTCAGATAAAAGACACCTGAGTCTGGGGCAGAACTGTAACCTGAGAAAATGTCTCAGACAAGCAACTCCCTAGTTCATGTGAAGATAAAGGGAGGGAGGGGGGGAAGCACATTCAGACTTGCAAGATTCTGTTACTATATCTTCATAATAAAAGTAATATTGGCTTGCATGACTTTGATTTCACAGTCTGGTCCACCTTGAAGGGCTGACACCTAATGAGTTTTAATTAAGAATGGAGAACCCATGACTCTTGTCTAATTCCTAAAGCCCCTTTGCAAGGAACCAGTTCAGACCTTTGGATAAAGGAATCTCTCTCTTCTTTGGCCATCTAGCATGCGTGGGAGATGTAGAAAAGAGAATGCCAGGGAGAGGGAGTGTTAACAAGGAGAATAATGCTTTGGTCACTGCCCACCATTTTCTGGCGCTGTCTCCCCATGACCACCACGAGTATGGGGAGGCCCACAGTCTGCTACAGAAGTTGGCCTGCATCCCTCAACAGAATTGTCCAGTTGTGATTTAAAATACCATTTCCTAAAACAAGCCTAATTCAAACTTTAAACCAAAAATTTAAACAAACTGTATTCCCAACTAACACAGATTAACAGAGGACACTCCAGATTTGTTCATTAAAATCCATATACAGCCCAGTCCCCAGCTCTCATTTGAGGATCCCTATTACCCCATGATCATGTAGTTCATTCTGCCACAAAATGGCAGTATTTGGGTGGTGTTTGTTTTTAATTTTTTACAAACTAAGGAAATGAGTGACTAGCCTCCAGAAGGCAAACCAGCCCCATTTCAAGCTTTTTTTTTTAATGCTTTAAGAGTAGGAGTGAAAACTGTTTTCTTCCCAGAGACCACCCAATCCCATTCCTGTTCTTAAAACTCCAATAAGGGGCAAAACATTTTGGCTCCATCTCTTTCCAAGATGTTCCACATCACTGAACAGATTATGCCAACTCCAGGAAAGTTAGGAGGCTGAATTGCAGCCCCAAGCTCTCAAATGTTGTTAATCTCAGTTTAAACAAACTAGTATTCTTCATAGTTTCATTATAACAGTGAACATAGTTGTTGTCCTGGAAGAGGAATGGGAATGGGGACACATGAGCCAAAAATTTGTGGATGGTTAAATATAGAATACTAAACCATACTGTCATTTTGTTATAAACCAGGTCACATTTTAGGAGTACTGTCTAGGCTACAAAAATCCAGAGAACCATTAATTCAGTGTTTCTCAAACATGGCAACTTTAAGATGCATGGATCTCAACTCCCAGAATTCCCCAGCCTGTGCTGCCTGGGGAATTCTGGGAGTTGAAGTCCACACATCTTAAAGTTGCTGAGGTTGAGAAACACTGCCTTAGAGAGTGTCAACAACCAAAGTTGGCTGTATCCTTTTGCTGCCCTCAAGTGGTCATCTGGATTACTGCACCCCAAATATGGTGGTCCTGCATACCTATTAGGTATAAGTGTCCAGGTGATAAAATTTCAACCTTGCCAGATACTTAAAAGCAATTCAAATAAACACGTTTCACTGATTGAAGACATACTTGGGATAGTAGTGTTAGTATGTATCATGCATGTGTATCATGTATGAACATTATATAAATATATGTTGTGTTGTATGTATGTAACTGCCCCGTACTATGGCAGAGAAATTGCCACTGGTGGTCGACATGTTCTCTTTCAGTTGCCAAAGCTAAAATGGATTAATTGTTTGGAAAATTAGCCTGACTCTGCCAGGTTGTAATTATAAACATATGTAGTTATGGAATGAACCTTCAAAGCTGCCCAGACTACTACAATTTGTTACTGATGATTTTCTCTTAACATTTGACCAGGTTATTTTGCCTCTTTGATGAAAACAGTTAAGCTTTCTGATCTGCCTTGGGGTATAAGCAAGGAATGTGTTTTTGGTGACTTGTGCTGCTTGATCATTTACTATTTTACAGTTGATGTAGTTGGGCTGTTCTTAAATAAACATGATCTCCTGTGTCATGGAAGGTGAGATAACAGATTAGATTTCCCCTCCTGTGAGAAGCAGTTACTCAACTTGTTTGTTTAGGCATTTGTAGTCCTGGTGTTATCTTCTGCTTGTGGAAGGAAATGGCCTATCTTTCTTTCAAACTTGGTTGGGATAATACGGCAAATACCAACTTTTGTCTGTATGATCACATCAGAGATCATTCATTCATTCATCCATTCATCCATTCATCCACATCTACACCCACGCCTAGCTTATTACCCACGTAGCTCTTCTCTTCCCATTAGGTGTCACCCTTTGCTACTCACACGTAATGTATAATGCAGTGACTTCCAAAGCAGGAGTGTTAGTAAAGAGATTATATATTTCTATAGGGATTTCAAACAAAGAATTGTAAAGTTGGAAAGGACAATTTAGGCCATCAAATCCAACGCTCTGTTCTGTACAGAAATTTATATTGAAGCAATCCCTGGTATATGGGTGTCTAGCCTTTACTTTAACATATTTAAAGAAGGTGAACTCACTGTATCTCTGGATAATTAGTTCCAAAGTCAGCGAATTTGATCTTACTGGTAGGAAGTTTGTCCTTACTTTCAGTCAGAATCTGCCTTCCTGTAACTTAAACCCATTATTTCATGTCCAGCTTTCTGGAATGGTAACTTACATGAATTGACCTTGTTCTGCCAGATGTCCTTTTAGGTATTTGAAGAATGTTATCCTATCCCCTCTTGGTCTTCTCTTTTCAAGGTTAAATGTTCCAGCTTGTTCAACCCTTCTTTACAGGACATAGTTTTTAGTTCTCAGGCCTTAGCTTTCTCCTATGAACATGTTCCAGTTTTTCTGAATCCTTCTTAATTTATTATGCCCAGAATTGGGCACAACACTCAGGGTGGGGCCTTTCCAGCAAATGATGAAGTTTCCATGATTTGGAAACTGTACTTCTGTTGATGCCCCCTAGAACTGCATGTGTTTCCTTTACAGGCATATCACACTGTTGAGTCATCTCTAGCCACTATTGTACGATCTTTTTCATTAGTGCTACTTTCAAGCCAGATGCCTCTCATCCTATATGTGTACTTTTGATTTCTACCTTCTAAATGAAATCTTTTGAACACCCAGTTCTTCATCTGTCAGCTGCAGATTAGTTACTACACTTCCCTTATCTTTTAATTCAAGTCATTACTCAAAATATTGAAGTTGAAGTATACAGGGCCCAGGACCAAATCTTGTGGCATCGGATCGGTACCTCATTTTACTATTTATGAGCAGTCTTGGAGTACAGTTTTTGAGCCAGCTATGTATCCACTTGATTATTATTTAACTAATAATAATTAATTAGTTAATTAATTAGCCCATGTTTAACTAACTTGCTAAGCAGAATACTATGGGGTATTTTGTCAGATACCTTTATGGAATCAAAATATATATTTCTTCATTATTTGCACAACCTAAGTCAATTATCCAGTTAAAAATGAGATAAGGTTAGTTTGGCAACACTGTTCTAAACAAATCCATGGCCTTCTATTTTCAAGTGTTTACAAACCAATCTCTTTGTATCTCTAGAGTCTTCCTGGGTATCACTCTCAGACAGACTAGTCTATAGATACCTAGATTCTCCTATTTTGAATACAGAGACCAAATTTGCTCTTCTCCAGTCATCTGGTGGTTCACCATGATTTCTCAAACAGAATACATAAAATTTCCTTCAGTATTCTAGGGTGCATTTCATTGGCCACTGGATTTTTAAATTCTGAGTGTAAAAGGTACTCCTGGATTATTTTTCTGACTCAACCTTTGACCTTACTCCTTCACTGTAGTCTTCATAGTTGCCTGGTGGAAAGTATACTTTCTTTTTGGAGAAGCACAATGAAAATATAACTTGAGTAGCTCTGTCTTTTCTTTGTTCTTGTTTTTCCATTGTCATTTTCAGTAGTACATTCTTTTCTCATTTTTATTTTGAATACACCTGAAAAAGCCCTTTTTGGTTTGTAGAAGATTATATTGTTGTAATTATATTATGATTATATTAACATGGTAGAATATTAGTTTATAGAAGATTATGAGGGTTTTTTAAACCTTGTATTCATTCTATTTTGATCTGAAAGATATTTTCCTGTTTGTTTTCAGATGCAACGTATTCTGAGTCTTTCTCTCTACTTTTGAATAAAACTCAGGGAAGATTTGGTATTGAAATATTTGCCATTCATTCTCACTGCCTTTTTTATGTGTCTTCAGCTAATCTTGCAATCATTGCTTGTAGAGCAGGTGAAGATAAGAGACCCAGTCCAGACGTACTTGACCTTTTTTTTTTTTTTAGAAAGAGTAATAACATTGAATTTGCTTACTTCACCTATTATTGAGTTGGTGACCAACTTGTCCTCCTAGGGAACAGGGTATAATCAAAGTGCACAAGATTACGCAATGGTATCTCTTGAACTAAAGGTTTTATAGTTTTCCCTTTAAAATCTAATCAACACAACTTTACAATACTTCTTATTGTAGCAGTAGATCCAGGATTCATCATGTCGAGAATAGATGTACTGAAATTGGTGGGATAAATTAGTCAAAAGTAACTTCCTCATGACTCTATTGAAATCAAAGTCTGTTGAGTTCACTGAGTCTACAGATCTAGATATTGGGTATTACCCACTATAGATGATGGTATTAAACACTCCCAAGCTCTAGCAAGTACTCAAAGTCCAAGTCTCAATCTTGGTCAGGAAAATACTACACATTCTTGCCTTAAGATAAACATTATCTGGCAAGTCCATGTTATATATATTATGATATCATTATGAAGTATCTGAGAGTTGATTTCTAATTCGTAGGGATGTTTATTCATTTACAGTAAAACACATTTACATTCCCTGTGTGTTTTGTTCTGCTCTAATATTAATGGTGTATGGGGTACATTTGGAATACAAGGCCTGGTCAGTCTCATCAAATAGCTACATGGTGGTCGCCTATTCTTCAAATGGTTGCTATGGTGGGCCTGGCCAGTCATAAAATAGATCTGGAAGCTCCCAGCTTGAATAAAGAAAATGCACATGGTAGTTTACGAAATGTCACCTTTGTCAGGATGGTATACACGCTCCAAAACTAGTAACTTGATATACTAAAATGGACAAAAGGCATAACCTGAAGAACTTTGGGATCTTCAAAAGAAAGCAGTCATCTGCTGATGGCTCCAATGTTTGTTAGACCCATGTCCGGAATTTGAATAATTAGTCATTAACCTGAGTGAGTTATTTCTCCAAAACTAACTTTTGTGGTACAAAGGGTTAAGTTCTTCCCCCCATGCCCCTCCATGCCCCCCATGCCCCCCCCCATGCCTAGTGTTCAAAGCAAAATGAATTGCCTGAGGGGAGACACATTCCATAGCAAGCAATTCACAGTGGGAATGCTGAAGTGGCTTTGAAGAAAATAAAGGACTATGTGTTGGCCTTTATTTCTGAGAACAAAAAGGCCACTTTGTTAAATTGCACCAACATAAGTTGAACGGCAGGACTTTTTTCTTCCTCTCTCTTTTGCATTCTTCCATCTATTGATCAAGTTCTCTACAAGAGAACTGGCTTTGTTTAAGGTAATTTACTCCTTTAAATGGCCTTTTAGAAATCTGGCTAAAGAATGTGAAAATGTTTAAATAAATGCACATACAACGTGATTTTTCCTTCCCTAATTATGTCACATTCTTATGGGAAGTTTGACTATTTGGGGAAGAACCCTTAACAGTAAAGTACTTGCAAACCAGAATCTTGAAAATAATATTCTGAAGGATTCTTGTATGATAAACCTGTATGAGCCACTTGTATGATAAACGTATAGCAGCTAGTTGAACAATGCAATACATTTCTAATAGCTTTAATTTGCCCCATGTCAAAAAACCCCCCTGTCATCTGAATATTGACATATAAGGCTTTGATCTCATTTGGATTCCATTGTACAACAATGGGATTTCTCACAGTGGTGGAAAGGACATTCACATTTGTTCTGATCTTTGTTTAAACAGAGTTTTTCAACAGTAGCATTTCCCAGTTTTGTTTTATCCTATCTGGCTAATTGTGGGTAGAGTAACAAAAAACGTAAATTGCTGTTGATTGCAGGTTCTGTTTCTGGGTCAGTGATGAATGTGATCTAAAGCCATTGGTACGAATGGAAATTTTGTCATTGACCTGAGCGGACCATGCACTGTGCTCATAACTGAGGACCTAGATTAAACGTTGTGTGAGAAAAAGAAATGTTAAAACCAATTTAACATGATGATGATAAGTTCTGATTTTCCATGCAGAAAGTATGGGGAGAGAAAACATTTATACCAAACTTTAAGTCCAACATAAAAGAGATTTTAAAGTCTTAATTTGAGGATTGAACACTAGAAGGGCTACCAAATGAGGGCATCACAGCCTATATCTGATGTCCTTCTTTCATATCCACAAGAAGGATGTGGGGATGAGGAGTGGGGATGAGAATGCATTTTCAGCATTTTAAAAATTGTATTTATTTATTAAACAAGTTCCCGTGGCCACCCATCTCACCAGTGGAACTTTGGGCAGCAAACAAAGTTAAAAACTTAGCAGATGATCCAAATCAATTACAAAACTTAAGTCGAGGCCTTTATAAAACAAAATCTCATCACCAACATATCACATGCCCACATGGTAGACCTCCATTGATATGGGGAAAAGCCAGGTCTTCAAGGCCATCTGGAAGGCCAACAGGGTCAGGACCATCCAAATCTCCAGGGCAAGGCTGTTCCATAAGGCAGCTACCATGACAGAGAAGGCATGCTTCTTATAATGTATTAGGGTTGCACTGCTTTACCAAGTGGACCCAGAGCATGCTCACTTTACTAGATATGATGGGTTTGGCAGAAATAATCAAGATAGATGGTCCTTCAATGACTCATGTTTGAAGAATTGAGGCATCACAGATCCTTCCTGATATGCCTTTAGGAAAGCTGGAGTTATTCCCTTGCTTCCTCTTGCTTTCCTCTAAAAGGAGTTAATTGAATGAAGACCTTCATAGTTTGAGGCTTCTCAGCAGGTATGTAGGCTTCACAGCATGTACATATGTGCAGCGAAGAACTATGTTTTGATTTTCACCTATTTGTAGAAGGAATGGAAGATACCTGAGTTTTGAAGGAATATCCAGGTGGCCCAGACATTCACTTTAGGAAAATTGCCACTTCTTGTATTCATTCTGGGTTGACAGTGGTGGGTTCTACTCCCAGATCTCAAGTGATAAAATTTATTTTTATTTTCCAGCTTGTGACTGTGATTTACGAGGCATCCAGACTCTTCAGTGTAACCGTTCAACTGGCCAATGCATCTGCAATGAAGGTGTTGAAGGTTCCCGTTGTGATAAATGCACCCGAGGCTACTCTGGCAACTTCCCAGACTGTGCTCCTTGTCATCAGTGTTTTGCCCTCTGGGATATCATCATTAGTGAACTGAATAATAGGACACAGAGATTCCTGGAAAGAGCCAAAGTCCTGAAAATCACAGGGGTGAGTGGCCCCTACCAAGAGACTCTCAACTCTGTGGAGGAAAAATTGAATGAGATTAAAAGTATCATTGCTCAAAATCCTGCTACTGAGCCACTTAAAAACATCGGGGACCTCTTTGAGGAAGCAGAGTAAGTATGGCATAGAACTTAAATAACGTTGCTTGCCGTTAGCTCAACCATGGAGAACTGGGTATCTCGTTGTTGAGTTATTTTAATAAGAACTACAGAGAGGAGGGGAGAAAAGGTGGAAGCATTGTGGCAAACAACATTTATAATGAATTTGAATGGAAATGGTGAGGGTATCTAAAAATTAGCAAGGAAATATCCTTATTGATTCTGTATATAGTCTTCCTTGTTGTTCCTCTTTTCAGTGTGGGAGGCAAAATGGCAAGGCTGATAAATTTGTTGATGCATCAGTTGTTAACTGCAGTTCAGCTGTCACATGAGAGATATGTTAGGTAGCTTAATCACACCATTGCCTGTTGATTGACAGCCAAATAATCTCTTCAGATTTTCAGTGTAATCCAATAAATTGTCTTCTTTTCCAACAGACCTTGGTCCTACTGAAAAATAATCTATTTCACCATTTAATATTGATTTAGCTTCAATAGTTGCTAGACATTGTATTTCCAGTATACATTTTCCATGTCATACATTTAGTCCATAGGTCTGGTTTCACTTCCATAACAGCATCTTCTCTTTGCTCTTTGATTTGGGACACAGCTGGGATCCTATTGGTAATACTGGTTACATGAACTAATGTTCAAAGTAGGCATGGCTGTACAACCACCTTGCAAATTGTATCTGTGTATTTATTTTGCACAGGGAAATGCCAGTTTATGGAATTAGCACTTCTATATGATCTCAGACAGTTGGCAGATTTGGTGGCTCCTACAAACAAGGGTTTGGGGACTACCAAGCTTATGAACCTTATTAATTGAAGGTAAAATAAAAACACTAAAAATTGGGGTGGGATGATGTTCTCACATTCTAGAAAGGTGATTTCAGTCAAGAAAACGTGTCCAGTATCTGCCCAGAACCCATAGTATACATTCGTGTCTTGCAGGCCAAGGAAAGGTCCTGTTGCAATGGCCTCCTTTGGTCTTTGGTTGTCAGCTTGATCGCATTACATAGTAGTCTCCCTTGCAGGGTTGCCTATTTGCACCAAGGAACCTTGGATAAACATCCAAGGAAATCAGGGTTCCCTGGTGTACTGCACAGACTTTTGTTCCTGACAATACAAATGCCAAAATGAAATCCCGTTGAAAGGTATTTGGGCATCAGTCGTATTCATTCTGACATATTTTTTGTTAGAAGTTAAGAATTGCTGTGATTTATTTGCAGCTTTTAAACATGGTTCCAAACCTAAGGCTTTCCATCTTGATTAAGTGTTCCTCCATAGGACTTGTAGTTCCTTTTGGATTTATTCTTTTATTTTTCAAGTAAAGCTCAAGTTAAGTTCTATATAGATTAGTCTGTGTGAAGCAACTACCTGCTGCTATTTTCATGTTTCTGTAGGATGGACCTATGGAAATATATTATTTTCACAAATAATTTGCCTATCCAAGGAGCAGTTCTCCAGTTTGGGGCCCCATACTCTAACATTACTCATACACATTATTAGAAATCTGTCCAACTCCCCTTTGAGTAAATCTGCTTCACAGCCATTTCTCTCATATTTCTGTTATTGCATATTTTTCAGACTTCATGGAGACTTTAAAAGACTGTATTGTGCAACTTTTCCTTTCACAGAATATGTTTGTCTTGTAGCCTATAAAGAAAGTTCTTAACACAGATGGTTTATTATGTGGGGGTATGAAAAAAATTAGATATGCTTTCTATGAGCCAATGTTCTGACATATGTCGTTGGCAATATTCAAGTTCATTACAGCAGACTTTTGGAATCCAGATGGTTAAATCTCATACAAGAGTGCTGTTTTCCTGAACTCTTTTCCGCTTTGTGTTCATGGAGTCATGATAATGCAAAAAAAAAAAAAGATAAACCCATCTCTTAGGAAAGAATGTTATAACAAAATAATTTACATTGATAGGGAAGAAAGGAAATAATTTGAAATGTGTATTTATTTAGATTCACGGCTAATAGGGTTTTAGTTCCATTACAGTAAATGGACGTTTTCTTGGGTTCACAGGAAGTTAAAAACAGATGTGGCAAAAAAGATAACTGAAGTCGAAGAAAAGGTATCTAAAGTAGCAAATGAGAGCACCAGTGCAGACAGTGAACTGACGGCCTTAGAAGCAGATGCCAAGAGCTTACACAATGCCGTGAAAGAACTTGCCGAACAGCTGGAGTTCATAAAAATCTCTGACATTCGAGGTTTGTATTTTATACGTCGAGGAATTTTGGTGGGATAGCTCTGGCTTTTAATAAGAAAGGAGACAGTACGAGGAATCCTAAGCAGATATATTTCATGTACATTTAACATAATCTAACCCAAACTAAAGGCTTTAAGGAGGATCTGCCTTGAAAAGCAGAGTGAAAATATTGTAAATAATTAAAGTCACATGGATTTCAGTGGAACAAACAACTGGGCTTAATCGTCCCTCGGCCATGCTTAATTATGACTACATCATGCATTTCATTTCATAGACAGCTTCTCCAAACTGAATCATTGGAAAGGCTTGGCCCACAGGTCCCATAATTCCTTATGTGCCAATTAAGGCTGAGGGAAGTTGTAGCCCAGTTGGAGAGATCCAGGTTAGTGAAGGCTATTTCAGAAGAACAATGCCATGATAATCCTGGTGATGTTTTGTTGACATCAGTGGAATTTCATTAATAGGATGAGCTTCTCAGGGCAAGTGCATCAGAGAGTTATTAAAACTAGGTGGTTTCCCAAATCTTCTGCAGAGAATGAGAGTTGCACACAATGCTGGTTTAGGGGGAAGATAAGCTGGAGGGAACATAATGCTACATATGTTTAAGGAAACCAATTTCTGCAAAGTAAAGTAACTATGCGTAGGGAGGGGATAAAACCATTCCATACACAGCAAATGAATGAAAACAGGACTGACCCTCAGACAGTGGATAGGAATGGGGCTCCTAAAGGACCTCAGTTAGCACCAGGAGGAGCAGCAGTTGTAGCTAAGTATCTCCTGTAAAATGTACCTGGTGCCTTGCTTTGAGAGATGCTCTGCTCCAGTCTAGTGTTCCCCATGTCTAGAATTAGAGAGTGATGGGAATAAATACTCAAGACAGACCACTGTGCCTAAGTGGATGGAATGTCTTGGACTGCCACCAGAAACAAGCGTACTGTGTCATGCAACCTTTACACTAACGATGTTGGCCTTGCTTTATGGAAGAAACAATTCTCCTTGCTTTCTCATCAGCTTGTTCTTGAGCATATATTTTTTTTGGATTGCTGTAAGACCAGACAAACATGGATGTTCAACCATGTTCACATCTGAATGTTTCAGGAGCCTTGGACAGTATCACTAAATATTTCCAAATGTCCCTGGATGCAGAAAAAAGAGCCAATGCTTCAGTTTTGCTTCCTGGCAGTGTTGTTGAGCAGTCAGCAGAAATGCGTCTCGAAGTGGAAAGCTTGATCAATGATACCGAGGCCAAGTTCAAGGCTACACAAGAAGAGCAGTCGCGTCTCTTGGATGAACTTGCAGGAAAGCTGCAGAGTCTGGATCTGGCAGAAGTGTCTGAAAAGGTATGTATCCTGTGAATGCTGTATCAGAGCAGCGAGGACAGAAAGGCTAAGAGTTTAGGGGGCAAAATTAACAAGGACTGAAGTCAGGAATGAAGGGAAACCTGTTGCATATAAATGAGATTTGAGATAAATTAGATTTCATATAAATGAAATGCCAGATAGAGTGCCATGGATTAGACAGGTCATTGTACCAGTGAAAACATAAAAATGAAATGCACACATAGAAAACTTTAAGTAATTCCAGATGCATAAAGTCCGCATTATAGGAGACAGTTTATTGACAAAGACCATCTTATGCATCTGTAAAATCAAAGAATCATTGAGACATGTAACCCAACAGGTGCAGGTAGTCCTTGCTTAATGTCCACTCATTCAGTGACCATTCAAAGTTACGACAGTGCTGAATGAGGACTTACAATGGATCCTTGTAGTTGTGGCTGCCACAGCATCCCCACAGTCATGTGATCACAACTCGGGGGCTCAGCAACCAGCTCACCATTAAGACATTGCAACACCTCGTGGTCATGTGATCGCCATTTGTGACTTTCACTGCCAGCTTCTGACTGACAAAGTCAGCGGGGAAGACAGAAGGAGGTCGCAAATGGTGATCATGTGACTGCGGGACGCTGAGATCGCATGAGATTTGCCTAACAACAGCAACTGGAACTCCCACAACTGCCGTTATAAGTTGGTGCTGTCACATGACATCATGCTTTACGACTGTGTCACTTAGCGACAGGCTTCCCAGTCTCAATTACCATTGGTAAGCGATGACTATCTGTCATATGGTCCAAGCTTTTCTTCTTTAAATAATCCAAGTCCTGTAAACCTTTTCATTCCCAGATCAGAATTTTGCATACCCCAAAAATGGAAATTTCACAATTTGTATGAATGGCAAAAGTAGGCATTCTTCGGTTTAGCTTTACATGTCTTACCTATTAACAGTATTGGTGCCTTGCTATACTGGTCTGAGAGTTTTTGGGGTGTCTCATAATTTTATTTTAACAGCAAGAATTGTTTGTAAGGATAAAACAGTGCGTATTGAAGAGCAAAGCCAGGAGCTGAACCACCAAGCATACGTAAAATCCTAGGATTACGCTGAAAAGCCTGATCAGACAAAGAATATCTCCTCTTGGTGCCAAAATACATTCCACTGTCGCGACACTTCAGCAGGGAAGACCTTTTTCCTAATTACCACCCACCTTGTTGCAGAAGATAGGAAACTTAGAAGGGCCCACCCAGGATTATTTATTTATTTCGGTATTTCTATCCTCTTATCACTGAAGATCTCTAAGAGGTGGAAAAGATCAAGCTTCCGTCCACCCAGCATAAAAACAAAGCAAAAATATAAAGGAACCTGAACTGAGCAATAGAATAATAAAACTAGTATGAAATAAAAGTTGTTCCAGGATGTAAACAGAGTTTTGAAAAGTGGATGGATTAAAACGCCATGGAAGATGAAAATGGAGAGGCCTTTTGCTGGCAAGGAAAAGACTGCATTGTAGGCTCCTGGGAGGATTAAAACATACTATAGACTCACGACAACTAAAGTTCTGCTCTTTTCGAAATTTTGCCTCCTGCAGCACTTCCTGAAAATTCACACTTTTCCCCCTAGATCTCATCTTGCTTTAATTGAAAGAGAAGATGGTAATCCACCTCAAACCCCTCGGATTGAGTCCTCTAATTTGGAGGGATGGATTTTTCATTTTAAAAGGGGTGGGGGAATCTTTAGGCAAGATAACCACCCACCAAACGGGAACAGGGAAACAGGATGTGATTTGCACATCCCTACCTAGGAACAATATTTTGTCTAGTTCAGTGTTTCTTAACCATGGCAACTTTAAGGTGTGTGCTGGGGAATTCTGGGAGTTGAAGTCCACAAGCCTTAAAGTTGCCAAGCTTGAGAAACACTGATTTATAGAATGAAAAGGGCACCACGTATCATCGTGCTGTGCTCTAACCTGGATTGGCGTGGCCTCTGAGAGGAGAGGAAGTCACCGGTATGAACGGGGCTATAGACATACAGGATAATAAGGTGAATTCAATTCATCTGTATTTTTTGTTGTGAAGTGGGAAAGAAGAA